AAAAAAAAAAAAAAAAGAAAAGATAAATAGCCTTTAAACTATCAAAACCAAAAGAATTACCTTTCTTTGGAGTTCTCAATAAAATTCAGTTTCTATTTTCAGAGATATTTTGTTATCTATATGAAAATATTCATGTTTTAGATAGCAAAGTAATGATTGTAGGTTTGATTGCTTTAACTTAGGAGATTTGCCTTTATTTTTTTTTTAGTTAGCTTTAATTTTGTCTTTTTATTTCTTATTCACTTATTTAGTTAGCCTTCAGTGCCTGTACTCATAAAAATAATCTTAGGTTGGTATTTTATTTTCAACCCTGAATATCAACAATTTGTTTCCACACCATTCTAGTTCTCAGAAATCTTTAGTCAGTGGAAACTCTCTGCTCCTTGACTTCGCTTTCAACCCCATTCCTCGCCTGTCATCCCCACACCTCTGCTTCTTCCTGCAGCCCTGATTTAGAGAGAGGTGAAGTCTTTCTTTTTTTTTCTTAAGCTAATATTTACAGCATACACAAGTTGGTAAGCACTGGAAGTAGATATATAAATGCAGAAATACAAAAGAGAAACAAGGCCTCCCTCAAAGAACTAGTGCAGATCATATAAAATTGCTGTGTTTGTAAGTCCAGAAACAATTGATTCTTAGAAATTTCATATGGTTCAAATGGACAAAGTATGGACTGAGATTAGAAGTATCCCACTTCCAAATTAGGGTGTGTATTGTGAGTCAGGGGCTGCTGTTAAACCTCGTGCCAGCTGTGAAGTCAGTGTGTGAGTCCTGAGAGGAGGAAAGGCCAGAGGGAGGGGCCCCTTCAGGATCCCAGCCCAGTGACGTGGGAATTCGAACCTGCCCAGAGGGCAGCAGGGTTTCAAGATGGTGATGATGGAAACATCTGGCACAGGGCAGAGCGCTTCAAATCTGGCTGCTTGTTGAATTCACCATTGGCCACTTTATAAGAATACTGATGCCAGGCCCTACTCCCAGAGTTGTTTTTTTTAGTAGGAAAGTGATTTATTTATTTATTTTCACTCAAGTTCAGTTTCTTTCTAGGCAGAGTCCCTGATATAATCATGCAGTTTTCAGTGGGGAGAAAGTTTAGTTCTTTTTTTTTTTTTATAATTTATTTAAACTAAATAAAAAGGAAAACCAGTTCACCCATTTCTGCCACCCCTCGCCCCCCACCTCTGGCAACCACCAATCTGTTCTCTGTATCTATGAGCGTAGTTTTTTGTTTCTGGGTTTTTTTTTGAGATTCCACATATAAGAGAGATCATACAGTATTTGTCTTTCTCTGACTTATTTCACTTAGCGTAATACCCTTGAAGTCCATAATGTTGTGACAAATGGCAAGATTTTATTCTTTTTCATGGCTGAGTAATATTCCATTGTATATCTATACCACAATTTCTTTATCCATTCATCCATCAATGAATACTTAGGTTGCTTCTATATCTTGGCTGTTGTAAATAGTGCTGCAGTGAACATAGGTGTGCTGCATATATCTTTTTGAATTAGTTTTTGTTTTCTTTGAATAAATACCCAGAAGTGGAATTGCCAGATCATGTGGTAGTTCTAATTTTAATTTTTTGAGGAACCTCCATACTGTTTTCCATAGTGGCCACAACAGTTGACATTTCCAATTCTGATCTCATGGGTCTGGCATAGTGTAGGGCAATGGTTCTCAAACTTTAGGGTGCATCAGAATCACCTGGAGGATTTGATAAAACACAGACTGCTAAGCCCCACCCTAGGAGTTTCTGATTCACTAGGTTTGGGATATGGCCCAAGAATTTGCATTTCAATAAGTTCTCAGGTAATGCTCATAGTGCTAGTCTAGAGACTACACTTTGAAAACCACTGATGTGGAAGAAAATGGCATTTTGAGTAGGAGACAGGATTGTAGTCTCAGTCCTATTGTTAGCTGTGATAATCTTTCTTTTTTTATTTTTGTCAGGTTTTACTGAAGTATAATTTAAATACTGTAATATTCACTCTTTAAGTGTCCAGTTCTCAGAATTTTGACAGATACTTGTATAAGCACCACAATCAAAGTATATGGTAGTTGTGTCACCCCCAAATCCCTGCATGTCACTCTGAAGGCAGCTCCTCCGCCCACTCCATGCCCTGGCCCTGGTCTGTTTTCTGTCCCTATGGTGTTGCCTTTTCCAGAATGACATACAATGGAATCATACAGTGTGTAGCCTTTTTGAGTGTGGCTTCTTTTCACTTAGCATGATGCATTTGAGATTCCTGCAGGTTGTGTGTGTCAGTAATTATTCCTTTTAATTACTAAGCAGTATTGCATTGTATCGATGTATCACAGTTTGTTTATCCATCCACCTGTTGAAGAATATTTGGTT